TATTTCTCACCATAGTAGACGCCTACACGACATCCATCTGCACAGACACCCTCCCCTCGACCCACTCCTCCCCTCGACCCACTCCTCCCCTTCCCCTCTTCCCACTCCTCCCCTCCCTCCCCTCCCCCTCCCGCTCATACCCACCGCAAACATCCCACCCAATACTTTGCCTTCTCCCTGCCTTTAGGGGTGGGCCGTGGAGGGGGGTTGTTTGAAGTCTGTCCTTGTATATTGTTATTAGTAGTTGTAGTTGTGTGTTGCTCTCACTGTGTACTATGTTCTGATATAACACAGTGACAACACGTGTGTTCGGGTGGCCCCTGTGTGTTGACTGTGTGTTGTGACAACACGTGTGTTCGGGTGGCCCCTGTGTGTTGATGTGACGTCAGAAGACGTAATACTTTGTTCCTGCGGACGTATTGAGAAGAATGGTATCTTCCTTGTGCCACCTTGTCCCTCATGGAGGGGATGTCCCACACGTTGTCATGTTGAACAGAACCACTGCTACTCTGTGGTTGATTGGTAGCTTGGAACAATCGTAGTATCCACGTAGTTTGTTTTATTTATTGTATTTTCTTTCCTTAGTGGGTGGTTGATGGGTGCTCTGGTGTGGTTTGCTCCTTCTTTCCTATCAAACTTCTATCGTCCTTATCTCCCCTGCTTTTTGTGTTTGTTACTCCCTTGTAACACCTCTAATCTTCGGCACTTATATGACCTAATTGTGTTGAAAGTGCCGTAAAACTTTTACTAAATTTTACTAGTCTTACCGACTAGGTTTGTCATGATTGGATGTGTATGGGATGACAATGAGCTGATGTTGTTGTTATGTCCCTCTAGTTGTTGCAGTTTGTTGTTCTTGTTCCAAGTTGTTTGTCCCTAACTGTACTCTGTCTTTGTCTTTCAGGTGAGCGAAAATATGTGTGTCAACTGTGCAATCGTGCGTTCAAACAAATGACCCACTTGCAACAGCACCATAGGATACACACTGGTAACTATTGGACTCACTTCTTTCTCAACTCTTTCTTTCCCTCCTTCATTTCTTCCTCCTCTTCTTTCCTTCCGTCCGTCTTCCTTTCCTTCCTTCCTTCCTCCCTCCCTTCCTTCCATATACACGGTTTTGTTCTGACGTGTTGCTCTTGTGCTCCGCTGCTATGACTTCATGCCCCCCCTCCCCCCAGCCACCTTGTCGTCACGTGACTGAGCCCGGTGTGTATGCCCAGCCTTCCATCATTGTGTATGGGTGGGCTGAGAGAGGTGACTTGAGCTGACATGATAGTGGAGTTAACAAGTGTGTCTGTGCTGGCTGTCTGTGCTAGCTGTGTGTCTGTGCTGGCTGTGTGTCTGTGCTGGCTGTGTGTCTGTACTGGCTGTGTGTCTGTGCTAGCTGTCTGGCTGTCTTTCTGTGCTAGCTGTGTGTCTGTGCTAGCTGTCTGGCTGTCTTTCTGTGCTAGCTGTGTGTCTGTGCTAGCTGTCTGGCTGTCTTTCTGTGCTACCTGTCTGTCTTTCTGTGCTAGCTGTGCTGGTCTGTGCTGCTGGTTATTTCACTAGAGGGCTTTTCTGTCTTTCTCTGTATGTGTCATTCATGTATGCGTATGTGTCATGTATGTATATGTTTGTGTCATGTATGTATGTGTCATGTATGTATGTGTATGTGTCATAAATGTATGTATATGTGTCATAAATGTATGCGTATGTGTCATTTATATGTGTCATGTATGTGTATGTGTCGTGTATGTATGTGTCACGTATGTGTATTTGTCATATATGTATGCGTATGTGTCATATATGTATGTGTCATAAATGTATGCGTATGTGTCATGTATTTATGCGTATATGTCATGTATGTGTATGTGTCATAAATGTATGTGTATGTGTCACATATGTGTCTGTGTCATAAATGTATCCGTATGTGAAAATATATGTATGCGTATGTGTCCTGTATGTGTATGTTTCATAAATGTATGTGTCATGTATGTGTCATAAATGTATGTGTATGTGTCATGTATATGTGTCATGTGTGTATGTGTCGTGTATGTGTATGTGTCATAATTGTATGTGTCGTGTATGTGTATGTGTCATAAATGTATGCGTATGTGTCATGTATATGTGTCGTGTATGTATGTGTCACGTATATATGTATGTGTCATATATGTATGCGTATATGTCATACGTGTATGTGTCATGTATGTGTATGTCTTAAATGTATGCGTATGTGTCATGTATGTGGCGTGTATGTATGTGTCACGTATGTGTATGTGTCATACATGTATGTGTCATGTATGTATGTGTATGTGTCATGTATGTATGTATGTGTCATGTTATGTATGTGTATTTGCCATGTATGTATGTGTCATGTATGTATGTGTATTTGTCATGTAGATATGTGTCATGTACGTATGTGTCATGTACGTATGTGTCATGTATGTATGTGTCATGTATGTATGTGTATTTGTCATGTAGATATGTGTCATGTACGTATGTGTCATGTACGTATGTGTCATGTATGTATGTGTCATGTATGTATGTGTATTTGTCATGTAGATAT